TGCGCATTTACATCTCCACCTTATCAGAAAATGGTTTATTTTAACGAAGAGAAGATTGTTTAGATGAAGTGTCGTTTTTTGCTAGAATTGTTAAGGTATAGTCCCCAGTTAAGGCAGTTCCCACTTCAAGCCTTAACTAAAGTTCTACTGACAGATTGGCCCTTAAGCTTGTCAGGCGAAACCAGCTTATTAATAAGTACACTTTATTTCAAAAAGAATTAAAAGTTATTTTACCTATCATTTTTTACCGCTGAATTTCTCTATAATTAGGTAATAATGCCCTTCAGCAAATTTTTGCCCTTGAACTTTATTCATAACCAGGTTAAAATTCCCTGTGATATGGAAGGGGCACAATCATGACTCTGATGGCTCTTGGGTTTGTCCATTGATAGATTCGAAAGATCTAACTCTTGCATACTCGGCCAAAGACCTTGTGTTGTTCCACACCCGCAACTTACTTTTGATGACCATGTTTTAAAAACTACCTGATCCTGTGTGTCAAGTCTTGGGCAAATAAGTCGCGTTAAACATGTTTTAGATCGTAATCAACTTGTGACGGTAATGAATGCCTTGGTCTTTAATAATGAAATGACAGTGCTGTTCTACCGTGTGGTCAAATACATCGAACAAAAATATCTCTAGACTACAGTCAGTGCAGAACTTTGCCGCGAGAATTATTTCAGAAACCTGGAATGGTCACATAACCCCCGTATAAAATTAAACATCCGTTCTTCCGGGACGCTGTCATGGCTGCATAGCGTGTAAAACGAAAACGTCCTTTATTATATTGAAGTCAAGAGCCATTCAGGGGTCTTTTTAGTACAGCGTGGTGCACATTAATGGAAAAATTTAGACAGTACTCTTAAAGCCGTAAAATCGATTCAAACTTTTAGATTTTGCCTCAAAAAATAAATTGATTACTTCCTTTTTAAATAGCATCAAGAACATGTAAAGATAGTATTCTATAATCATTCCAATCCTTAGTGACGTGGGATTGCGGATTCCAAAAGAAAATTTCCTAGATTCAGAAATCCGGATTCCCTAACTTGGGGCGAAAATGTGCTAAGTCAGTAGAGTTGAAAAGGGGCAAATTCCGTCTTGATAGGGATTACCTTTCATGAGCTAAAATAGCCAGTATTAGTACAAACCTCATTGACATGCATTAAAATTAAACACTATTAAAAGAAAACAGATCATTTTTCTTGTTTGTTCTGGCTACCTCAATCGCATGTTTTGGAAACCTCTCAGTGAATCCTCAGTTTTTTGCAATTATATTGAAAGTAGTTTTGGTCTGAGCTATTTGAGCTCAAAAGTCATTAGAGCTCGACTTTTGGTCGTTTTTACCAGGATTTTATATGATTCATATATAATTCATTTCATATACATTTGTCACGTTGTTATTATTATTATATGGTTAAGGTCGCAGTTCACTACAAAGAAAAAAAACAAAACTCTTCTGACAGTTGATTTTTTGATTAATTTTCTGCTCATTACATCTCCACCTTATCAGAAAAATGGTTTATTTTAACGAAGAGAAGATTGTTTAGATAAAGTGTCGTTTCTTGCTAGAACTGTTGAGGTATAGTCCCCAGTTAAGGCAGTTCCCACTTCAAGCCTTAACTAAAGTTGTACTGACAGATTGGCCCTTTTGAGGGGCTGTGTCACGGCAGTCAGTTCATTTTGTTCAATTTTGCCAGTTATTCGCCCACAATCGCTATGGAACTTAAAGTAGGCAAAGAAATTACATGTAAACAGACACAAGCAGAGACTCCAGACAAACAAGTATGTCTCCTGGGCATTATTTTTGAAGTTGCAAACAGCAGAGATCAACTTTGAAAAGCTGTTAGGCTGAACAGTTTTCAAAAACCCTAATTTCAGTCCGTTTAAATCTTCAGTTTTGCCCATCCGTGGCATCTGTTGCATCTGTTGTGTTACTTTAACCTTCCTTTAATGTTTTAAGCGGTTATTTTCCCGTTTTTCTTAATTTAACGGGCATTTTGTAATTACCTAATCTGTAGCTGGTCACGTGACCAAAATGTGATTTTGAAAATTACGAATTACTGCTTTCTGAACACAAATTTTGCACTTAAACTTCAAGGAAAATGTTGAAAAAATGATGGGGTAACGTTTGCAGCACATCTGAGCATAACTATCAAAAGTTTAACAAGATGTAAGAAAAACTAGTTTTGGTCGCCATGTTGGAGGGCAAGAGTATGCCCTCCAACATGGCGGCCAATAGAAATCATACTACTTTGTTGAAAAATCAAAGTGCCATAAAATATCTCCCTTAAATGCTTTTCCTCTCAAATTTCGGGTGTAAGATAAGTTTTATGTGCTCTGTCAATTTTTGGCATCAGCAGGATTCTAACTAATTGTTTAAGGGAAGTATTGATCACGTGACCCCTTAGCGCAAGTGGCCTATTTCTCACAAGTTTGCCTACTCGTCAAGATGGCATCAAAAACCATGACAAGGTCTATCTTACAAGTACCTGATAGCCATTATTTATATTTACTATCTTTCAGGAAATCCGCACAGTAACACGTGTGTTAGAGCAGTCAGCAAGAGAAATCCTAGCTGTGTTACAAGCAGTCCATCAAACACCTAACCCTGAAGGTACATGCACATGTCTGCCGTAGCTCTTCATGAGCCAACTCCCTTATCAACATAAAACTATAACATCAATTATTTATATATATATCAAATTTGACAAAGCATGAGGTCAGGATGCCTGGATATTGGCCAAGTTCCTGTCAAGGAGTGACAAAGATGGTTAAATCTAACAAAATTTGCAAACCTGGTGAGAATTAACTAAGAATTTGGTGAATATTCAAGTGAGATGGCAAGTTGCATGCAATTGTAGACATACCTCAAAATAAAAATAATAGTAAATGGTTGAAATCTAGAGGTGTCGTTAATTAAGAAACTATTGTTTAACCATAAGGTGTCTTCTTCACTTTAATAAACATTTACATTGTATTGGTCATATCACTCTGTAGAACTCCCCCCCCCCTTGAAATCCTTGGAACTCCCCCCTGTGGGAAAAGGTGCTAGTAGGTTTAGCTCAATTGCAATTATTGTGATGGTTGCTGTTGGAACCCACATAGTGGATCATATGTGCCTTGTAAATAGCCCCAAAGATTTATTTTGCACTTCTCTCATTTATGCTGTATGCATGTGATGATTAAAGTAATTCTCTTTATGCATGTCTTGTCTTACTCTGGCAGTTGTTAAAAGGATATGTGATAAAAGCAGACATATGTTTTCCGCTGTCAAGTCACAATATAAGAATCTTATGGAAAAGATTCCTGTAGGGCAATATTACAGGTGAACTGGTGCATCATTGTTATTGATACAGTAAATATTATTCATAATTTAGTTATCCGACTTCTTGTTTAAGTATAAATCTTCAAAGGTCTTTTCAAATTATTTTCCCAGCAGTACTTATAATCATACTGTAGATACAAAATGAATTGTCTGTCCAAACTGCCCAAAGCGTTATAGCCTTCTTTTCCAGCTTCTGCTGGAACTTTGAGCCTTTCAGCTTTCTCTCCCCCTCTTCTTTCGCTTCTTCCCGTTTTCTTTTCTTTGTTTCGCATTCACTAGAGATAGATTTACATGTAGTCCAATAAAGCTGGAAAGATAAATAAATACTAGGTTTCATTTTGGTGGAAAGAGTTTATGAGGAAGCTTTTAGTATCTTAGAATTAGTTGGAAGGAAGTGTAGGTGGGTAGTAGAACAAGGTTTACATGGGAATTTTTAGTTCAGCTTTGTACTGTATGAGGCTTCCAACCCCCCCTCCCCGCCTTCTTTTTTCCTTTTTTTTTTTTCGCTTACCTCCTGGACTGAATTGAACTCGTTCTGGTATGGTTTCTCTTCCCCCTTCATAAGTTAGATTAGCCTGCGAAGGCATCCGTTTCTCCTCCCTCTTCGCCGAAATGTTTTCGCAGGCTAAAGTTAGATGACAAAGTTGCCCTTGACCGTTAAAACGACGTCATAAGCGGTAGAAAGGACGTGGATCCTCACGGACGGCTCAGGGGCAAATAGGTTAAAGTAATGCTAAATAATACTGCTCCGTTTTTGACATTCTCATACTTTTGCTCTGCATGTTTTATACACGTATTGTAGGTTTTGTGATCATTGGCGCTTTGTGAGCCAGAGATTTGCTTTCCTTGGTGCGTTTATTTTGTACTTAGAAAGTGAAAGACTCATTAAGAGGCAGGAGCTAGCAGAAATGCTTGGAGGTCAGTTTTTTTAAAGAATAAAATGTGTAAAACATAAAAACAAGGAAACGTTGCGCAGGGTCCTAGAAGTGGGATGAGAGTGAAGTGAAATGACATCGAAGTGTTTTAAAACTCAAGTGGAACCAAGAACCCCAGGTGATTGATTTCACTGCTTAGTTTTGAACAATTTGACGTCATTTCTATGGTCGATAAGAGTATAGAACGTGGGAAATTGTTATCCATTTGTTTTCTTGCAATATCATTCTTGACAGTTTTTGACTTCCTTTCCGGTGAATTTTCTCAGAATATCGCGCGACTAAGAAAAAGAGAAACAAATTACGCCACCTTTACGTCATTCCAATGGTCTGTACTATTATCGACCATATCTCTCGATCAATGAACTGGCGAAAAATCGCTCAGTTATTGAAAACAAACTCTTTCACTTTTAGAATGATAAGAAAACCGAGACAGCACGTTATAATTTGTATTAATATAGCTGAAAAGTCCACAATCTTAACGTGTAGGACTGTTCGAATGGGCAGTCTGGTCACTGGTATATCATTATAATATGCCTTCCATTTTTTTAGTTCACCTAAATACTCACGTTAAAGTCCTTTCGTTTCGTTTACAGATTGCGCGCTGGCCAATATTTTTTGCTAAAGTACATACCCAACCCAATATATGGGCGAAAAGCTTTATCGCTGCGGTCTTGATTTATCATCTGGAGTTTGGTCGTTTCGAAACAAAGTCGTTTCGATTCAGGCCGTTTCGATACGAAGCAGTGAAATTGCACAAAAATTTCGATCAATACAAGTATAGTTTGCGGGTGAACATGAAAAACCTTTTGGGTGAAAATTTTTCGTTCCTGAAGCCAAGTACTCTGAGCACTAAACGTCGAACTATTTACACCTGAACTGAATAAACTTGTATCGAAACGACCTCTTTTCTCTTATCGTTTCAGTTCAGGTAGATCGCAGTACATCTGATGGTTTTCACATTGATCTGGATGATTTTTTAACCGGTCTCCTTCTGCTGGCTAATGAGCTGGTGAGTCTACATTTAAACGTAATATTCTGCTGGCCTTTACCGTGGTTACCAGATACTTTCCTTGGGCAGTTTCTGATTTCAGCCAAGTCTTTATAGGGACTCGTTCGTAGCTTCGGCCTAAGGCCAATATGTACATGCAAGGCATCCCTGCTGTACTCCATCGCCCGCGCGCGAGAAAAGTATCACCCCATGGTAAGGTTATCTAAGACAGTCTTGGATTCTGGATTCCACGCTGCGGATTCCGGATTTTAGATACTGGATTCCGGATTCTTTGGGCTAAATTCCGGATTCCAAGGCCCAGGATTCCGGATTCCACAAGCAAAAATTTCCCGGATCTGGAACCCAGATTACTTTACAAGGGGCGACCGGGTAGCTTGCCGTGTCAAACCACGTCATATTCCAGGCTAAAATTTCCTCTTATCTTCTCTTCCAGTCGCGGTTTGCGGTGAATAGTGTAACAGCTGCGGATTATGGCCGGCCGTTCAGAATAGCTGCGTTTGTAGCAGAACTCGACGCGGGTTTCAGACTGTTAAATCTCAAAAATGACTCACTTAGAAAGAAGTTTGACGGCCTCAAATACGACCTCAAGAAAATCGAAGAAGTCGTGTACGATCTTACCATAAGAGGACTGAAACCAGCTTCTGCAGTCACAGAAACAACTTAAGTTGTCAAAGTGTTGTTGTAATAGAATTTGTTGTTGTTGTTAATTTATTTGTTTTTCTTTTCCTGGAAACGTTTCCAGGGCAGATGAAATCATTCCTCGGTACCACTGATATTGAGGAATGATTTCATCTGCCAACTTGTCGAAAACCCTCTTATTCTGTTTACCTATGAGCGGCACACTGGGTAAATAAGTTTGGTTTAAGTGCCCAGAGGGCCTGATGTTTTGGATCATTATACGTTTCTGGGAAACTGCCCACCTACCCCTCTCCTAAGCCAACATTTTACCCTAAGTGAGAAGTAAGTGTTAATGTTGGCTCAGGGAGGGGGAGGGGACTCCGCTTATGAAAGGGGTGGGAATGCTCGTCGTCTCGCTTAGGGGTTTAAATTTCGGATTTTGGCCTCACTTAGGGTGTTCTGGGCAAAACGCCATCATATTTAGCCGTGAAGGTCTCGTTTAGGGTTGCACGCGAAAAAATATAGAAATATTTATTATATAGACACGAGTGTTTTACTGGAAAATATACCACTCGTAAAATTCATAAAAACTACATCCGGGACCAGATTGGTTTATTTTCCATAATCTCACACGTGAGTTTATCGATGACGTAATTTCGGTCATTTCCCTCTATTATTTTATCAATGTCTTTTTGTCTATATAATAAAAAGAACATTACACGGCGGCTTGAAGATATGAATTTTTTTTTCTCGTAAAATTCATTCGCCACCGTGTAATATCCTCTATATATTTGATATGTATATTTTTTAATTCGTTTTATTTACTCCATTCAGCTAATCCAAGTTTTCTTATTTGTCTGTGTTTTAACATGGTTTCTTTTAGGAGTCAAAAAAAGCTTGGGCCACGCCCAGATCGGTCTCCCTTAGGGGTTTAATTCAAAATTTCCAACGAACATCCCCACCCCTTTCATATGCAGAGTCCCCCCCCCCCCGGTGGGTTGGCCTAGGGGAGAGGGAGGTGGGCAGATTCCGAGAAACATTTAATGGTCCGATGTGTTCTGGTAAGCCAGTCCTCAATAGGTCAATGATCGAGCTCACCCGAGATATTTTATCGCTGGGAAAAAGAAATAATAAAAATTAATGTGAAAATCAAAATGGCTATGTAACGAATAGCTTTGTATGCACACGCATCTTTCACTGTCATAGGCAATCAATTACGAAGATATCAGCCTTTTTTAGCTCAGCCGAGGTTTATTTTCTTTCTTAAATCTAAATTACATTGATAGTGAGGAGCCGTTGATTAGTTGTGATGAAATTCCTCTAATCATAGATAGTTAAAATTATTCTAGTATACTAAGATCTATTTTCGATGGAAAAAAAATTACAGCTTTACACAGCAGATGCTTGCTTCCTGACGCGTTAATCAAATACCATACAATTTTACTGTCGTATTGTCTTTTGGGTTGTTTTCGTTGTGTCGTGTCAGCAGGAGTGGTGCAGTTGGACCAGTGCCCTGACGTCCTCGTCCCTTTCCTAGGGGGGATGTGTCATTATTGTCTTTCCTAATAGGGAGACGAAGTCGTTACGTCACGTTGCCATGGTAGAAAAGTTTCTGGATCTCAACAAACCGTGCTCCTGCAATTATAGCAGCAAAAATGAGAAGTATGACTTTTCCTTTGCATGGTTGCGCTCAGGAACAAAACGGTAGCCCATACGTTTGTTTCATCATTCGACAATCCAAGTGGCCGTCTCTGTCAAGAAAGATTGTTGAGATCATTGTACCATGGTAACGTGACTTCACACTTCTCTTAGGAAAACCAACTGAGTTCTTTTCAAGAAGGCCGGGAAAGAAGGTGATGGATTCGCGAATGAAGAAAGGGGCAATGGCGTTGTCCCAAATGCGCAAATTTGGAAAAAAAAAAGTAACAGCCAACTGATAAGTTAATTTATCACTATCAAGATTGGGCAACCCCTCAAGAGGTCCTCCATGTTTAGATAGTATAGGACTGTTCTAAGAACGGGAGCCTTTCCCGGCCATCTCACCCAATCAGTTAAAGTTTGCATGGCTACTGTCCTACCAAGAACCCGTCAACCTTGAATACGGCGATAGAGGTTGAGGATAAAGTTAAATCTATGTATTGCAGAAGGCTTTTGTACTGTATTTCTTTCTGAAGTGGTAAAAGTTAGCTAAATCAATTAATGATACATTTAATAAAACGTATGTATAAATAAGTGAACAAAACAAAAAAAAGAAAAACAGGCGAGATTAGTCAAAGACGTGGTTGGCAATTGCATCCAGTCAGACACAATTTAATTAAATTCCACAGCTACAGACATGTGGAGACGAACACTGATGAAGTCGCTTGTGAGAAAGTTGTAAAAATGGCTGCTTCAAGGCTTCCACCAAATGTCGTTTACAAAGCAACAATTTTTCTGCCTAAAATTAAAAATTTTTTTTTCATTTTGTACTCTTACATTTTGATATATAAAAAGGTGTGCCAAGTTCCCACATATTTCCAGCATACGGGAAAATTTCTAAGAAAAAAAGTTCAGTGTTTTTCAGTTTTTATCTAAACTATCTAACGCTCATTTGTTACTTATACTCGGATATTTCCTTAGTTTGAAAATGTTTTCAAAGGAAAGAAAGGCTATGTTGTTAAAAAGCGCTAACCAAACTGGTCCCATTAAAACCATGGCCTTGAAGAGATTTTTTGATGCTTCTGACATCAGCTACAAGACCAACCACAACGCAAACTGTTATAACGGAAAGGACAACCCAAAAACCTATCTTAAAGTATTTGATTAACAAGGGGCGATCTTTTTGGTCTTCTCTTCCATTTGTGTAATCCTTTGTCAATTTTATTCCTTTCCGCTTGCATATCTCTTCCAATTGTTCGGCAATGGCTGGCCGTCTCACAAAATAGCAACGAGACTTTTTGTGAGCCGACTTCAGAATTTTCTCGAAGTCCATTCGACCATTTATGAGTCGGGTATGGGTTTCTGCAGCTGGACTTTCATCGGCTTCGTTGAGTTCCTCTCGCGAACTAGAGACGTGAAATTGGAAGGTGACCGTTGCAGCATTCTTGTTTTTTATCTTCTTCAGTAGCTCTTCAATGGGTTTACGAAAAAAGTTATAAAATGCCTTGCTTCGGACCGAGTAGAAGATGTCAATCGCAATTTGTTTATGGCTTGGTGAGCTTCTTTGCGATGGTGCTGTGTGGGCCAGAAAGCTCAAGATATCCAAGAGATAACCACATCCGGAGCCTGTTGCGAACAGAAGATAGTGTGAAGGGCGCTCCGTATCTTCTGACTCTCTAACAAGTTGATGGTACAGCTTCGCAACAGACGAACGATAAGGTCCCCACACATGCAGAAGAGACGTTTTCTCAACCTCTGCCAGCCAATTTGTCCAAGGGAGGCACAATTGCTTGTCATCATCAATTATCGACATTACAAAACCAATGTCCCAGGTAGAATCTTGCGACAAATTTCCAAACGTTGTGAAAGGATGTGATCTCTGAGGCAAAATTTCGGTGTTGTCCCTAACTTGATGGTGAAGATAATAGACATCGCCAACAGCGATTTTCACGTTTTTAGCAAGTTTCACATAGAGGACAACATACTCGTTGTTTCCAAGAACTTCTTTCCGCACAATGTGACCCCGGTGATATCGATACAGGAAAATGGAAAGAATTCGGTCTACACACCAAATGATGAGGATGGGTAGATTGAAGACATGTGCCAGTCCGTGAGTGATCTTCCGAATGTTGTCAATGGCGTACCAGATCCCAGCAAATGCGTGCAATGTCATGGCCAAAGAGTAACTTCGATGGTTGAGATAATTTGATCTGCTCAGGGGAAAGAGTAAGCAAAACAACACGATCATGAGCACAAATCGGTAGATCTCGTCAGAGGTTAGGTGAACTCCGGTGTGATCGTTGAACGTCCAGCCTTGGACGGCTGCAGGGTCCCAGATCTTGGACCAATTCAAATGCCCTGGAGAGGAACTGTAGTTGAAGTTACTCGGTGGGTAGTATTTGAGTGCTGTTCCGTCTATGAGGGGAGGAACAAAGATCACCAGAACGTGGGCAAGCGAAGGAATGGCGATCAGGAAGATACCTGCTAATCTGTGAATTCTCACGTGAACTTCACGAATGCCTTCGACAGTTAGCCACCCTGGACAGGTTTCGGCGATAAAATTTGGGAAGCACCATAGCATCGTGTAGAACATGAGATTCTGGGACGTGATGATGAGACGTGCTGTAACAGCCCAAACCACATTGGTGATCGTCTCGCCCAAGTTGGTCCCCCAGATGCGTTTGGGAAGCTTTCCTCCTCTTTTTAGAACCGCATCACCTTGGAGAACGAAGTGATCAACGACACATAGTGTTGTCAGAACTAAGAATACGATCCACACCAAAGCTTCGTATGAAATAGAAAACCGCCCTCGATTTCGCCGGACGGCAGTTGCACTTGGTTTTGACGAGGATTGCGATTTGTGTTCAGGAATATCAACAGATATAGATGTTGAAGAAGTTGACGCAGTATTTTTCCTTGAAGATACGCGAGCTTTTCCAGAAAAATCTGCCAGTTCCTGATTAAGGAAAAAATATATTCGAAATCTGTTAGTGGCTAGAGACACATCCGACATCGAATCGCAGACATTTATGAGTATTGACTCATTACAAGTCCTTCAAATGTGCATGAAAATAAGCACATATTAATTTATTTATTATTAGTGAAACCATTGTACTGGATTCTGAGGTAATCGAGGAACTGATCAATGTCCGCAATTTCAAGGGGTACATGTAAAAGTATAATGAACCCTTATACAAAAATCTCACCTTCAAATCATTGAAGAACTCTTGATGTCTAAATCCCAGGTCGTCTGTGTATATTTCCATGATAACCTATATAATTAATAGTTATAATAACATAGTTCATGTCAAAACGTGAGGTATAGTCAGTGGCAATCATCATTTGCTCACTGTCCCCGGATACCGGTATTTATTCACCTGACAGATAATGGTCCGACGTGAGGGCGCAGGTGGAGAGTCATTGCCGAATGAAAGATACAGAACGACTTTCTGTCAACTCAGTTCTAAAGTGCAATCATGGACAAATTCTCAAGACACATTTGCATTTGTGGGGCTCTCTTTTAATTTCACATGCCCAACCCCTCTCCCACCCCACAAACAACGATGAATGCGTATATCCCGAATTTTTCCCAAGTTTCAACTTTGTACAGGATGGGGAAAGGGGGGACTGCAAGATATTTTTAAAAAGCTGGCCTGATATTTATTGTTGTTGTTGTTGTTAAAACACCCAAAAATTGTAGAAATTCAGGACTACTGCATCACTATCTCAAGGACTTTTATCTAGAATTATAGTTATTAGCAAACTATCTCCCTTAAAAAAAGTGTGTTTTTATTTTAAAAAAACGCTTTCTTGCTGTTTTGCGTCGCTTTTCTGTATTTCAGCTAATGTCTTTCTCACCTTCATATCCTCTCGATCAATGGCCTCACTTATGTGCTGAAATAATTGCTCCTCGTCAAATTCCACTTCATCAATTTTATTGCTAAGGAAAGAGTACAAATATATGAAAAACGTTAAGATAAATTTGGTGGATAATAGATTTGTCCGTCCGCTTTGTCTTGACAAGCTCGCCTATTTTCCGCGTACTAGAGAAGAATTTCGAATATTTCCGTGTTGAAGTTTTGTTCTTTCACTTCACCAAAGAGTGCATGGACAGTTGCATGTAAGGTGGAAAGTTACTTAAGTATTCAGTGAGGTACAAATCAGGCAAAATTTTGAGTCCCGTCAAAAATCCTATCTGGGTGGAAAACAACCCAGGTCGTAGAGAAAATAGCCCTTTTTTTTCAGCTCTGCCGACTTTTTTTTTGGATCGTTTTCGTATGACGTGCGTCCATCAAAAATTCAAGTCATTGTTGTCGTTTCATGTCGTTTACATGTTGTTTACGGTTATGACTGGAACTAATTGAGTTTGATCCATTGGCAGCATGTAGTGATACGCGCTCTGTAGCATTCGTCCGCTTGAATGTTTTTTAAATATTCAAGCCGGCAAGTTCAACGGGTATACGCGTATGAATCCCTAGCTTAAAAGGCGACATTTCGCGACGCCAATAACGCTTTCCCCACGAAATAGTGCAGAAATTCTTTGCTGATGACGCTTCACTACCCAGATCTGGGTAGTGCTTCTGATCAGTTGGAGCAAACTTCCCACACGGCACGACCAATAGAAGCACTACACAGATCTGGTAACTGGTATCAGAATGGACTGATTTCTACGCTTATCCTTAGACTTAATCTCGCGGGGAAAGTGATATCTGCATGATTTTAGGGGGTATATGAACTACCTGATAGCATCTTGGGAAGTAGGACGTGCGAGTAGATCCATAACATCTTTGTCTTTCAGAGACTGAGCCACCTTTTTCAATATGACTTCTTTAGTTGGTGTTTTTGTTTCTAAATCGCCGTCAGACTGTGCAGTGGTACCTGATAAAAGAAGTAAGAATGGAAAGCTGGAGGCAAGTTATTTGCTAAAGAAAAAAATTAAGTATAGTAAGATTGTCCCGCCTCGACCGAGCTGGGAGTGACCCGGCTGGGAAAGCCGAAGTGTTTACGGCGTTTGATAGATAGGAAGCGTTAAAAGAGGGAGGCGATTATGCCCATACCTGTAATAAAGTCCACGTAAATAATTTGCTTTCGGCAAATATATCACCACAGATAATACTCTAGAAAAACTGGTTCTTTCCAACTTTGTCTTATTTACTTGCATATGTACGCATTGAATTTATGAAAAGACAAATTCCCCTGAGACCTTGGTAAAACAAAAGAATGTTAGAATGTTACGCAAGCATTGCCGATGCTCATATTTCGAGCTTGGGATACCTGTAGTAAAAGATGTTTAAAGATGAACAGGGACTAAAACGAGCATGGTACAAACCAGATTCGGCATCGTGCATGAAGCTTGACCAGTTACACTGGTCAGGTCTGTCATCACTGCAGTAGTGACTCTGAATTCCATTCATCTGTTCTTCCGTCAGAAGTTCTTGAAAAATTTCCTTGCAAGCTTTCCTGAAGTCATCTCTGCTGACATGTCCTTTTCTCAGTGGATCGTATTCATGAAAAACGTCTTCTAACTTCATTGAAAAAGTGAAAAACGAATCACTCAAACTTTGGTAGATACCAAGGAGACTTATGTTTTGGGCCTGTCTACAGCGATTGAAGGTTAAGGTAATTAATAATTGTGTTTCAACATAAAGGACATGTTATATTGTCAAAATTTAATACTTAATGTTTTTTTTTTTCGTGTATTGATGTGTCGGTGAAGGAATAGGTCAAAGAAAAAGAGAGCCTAAAACATTGCTTTAGAAAACCTCACAATTCATCTGGTATCCCTGCACGCTCGGGCGCTCATATCCCCTCGTTCCAGTAAATAACCCTTACATATTTTTACTGATCGTGTTGATTAATTGATTTATTTATTCTTTTTATAATTATTATTTTATTTTATAATTTTATTTATTGTGAAGCCTGGTCAATTGAATAAAACATGCTGTGTTTATATTACTTCAGAGAGAGTATAGAGTGTTTTCATTCACGTGGCCAGCATCTATGCAAATGTATCGGAACAAAAGAAATGGTTTGTATAAGAAAAGAGTTCAACTCCCACAGGATTGGTTTGGGACACCAACATGGCCACCGTTTTATTGTTTTGGGACACCAATATGGCCGCCGTGACGTCATGTGAAAACACTCTATAAAGTAGATGTTTCTTTCAATCAAGAATATCCAAAATTTTACATCTAGAACATAAACTTACCATAATTCCCTTTTTACGAACAATGTCTCTGACTTTATCCATGGTTTCGTCAAACGTCACCAATGAAGAAGTCGTAGAAGGTGTTTCTTCCCCTGACTTTGTCCTGCAATTACGATTTGTATTTTGACCCAATGACTGTATTTAATTAATGTTCAAATCAATGCAGGCAAACAAGTCATAAAGGTCTTAGCTGGTTCCCTGGAAGATAGTTACTAGAGGAGACTGGAAAGGAAAGCCGGCAAACATCAAAGTTAAAAACAACGGTGCTGTAGTTTATGTTGGAAGCACAGTCCTTTGTTTTTTGTTCACAAATTGTGACTGAATAAATTAATGCGATGTTTTTATTGGTCAGTAAGTTCAAAATGATAGGAATGTTATTGAACGTTGTGCATGGTCAGGTCCAAAAAAGCTAACAAAAACATATAACAAAGAGTCTAACCGTTTTCATAACCATTCTACTTTAATAACTATGCTTGGAGCTCCCTCCTATCGTAATAAAAGCAATTCCTCCACCCAACCACTATAGAAATGTCGATTGGGTATGCCGGCAATATTATAACATACCTAACAAGCTATTAACTGAAGCTAATAAGGCTCCATATTTACTAAGAAATCACCGACACTTTGCACTTCCAAAGTGGAAGACGGACGGTTTTAAGAACACTTTTATTTTGTCATCGTGCCTAAAGTACAATTAAATGATTCGGTTTGAATGCTTTTATATATTGTATGCATGAATTTTTAATATTTTTAATATTGATGTATTGTAAATTATTCTATTTTTTAGCTTGGTTTTATTTGTAAATACGCAATTCAGCCTCTGGCTGCCCATGAAACTATCTATCTATCTATCTATCTACCTACCTATCTATCTATCTATCTATCTATCTATCTATCTATCTATCTATCTGTCTGTCTGTCTGTCTGTCTGTCTATCTATCTATCTATCTATTATAATCACCCTCTTTAAGCAATGTTGTTTAATCCTAGCGTAAAAATAAAAACCATGGAAGGTCTATTGACCGTAAACACAAAGTAGGGGTGGGTTTATAAGAAAATAAAAAGGATAATAATTAATAGTATAATTATAAGAAGAAATGAATAAAAAGAAATAAATAAAAAACTTATATAGGCAGACGGGCATCAGCCATACCGACTGGCTAGCCGAAAGGAAAATGAAGTTGAAGAGCGTATATGAGAAGCTATTAATAAAGGATTATGCTTGCTTACCCAGTAATCTCTGACATCTCCATGTGATAATGAGACAATTTGACCTGTAAAGTACAATTTATTTAGTGTTTACATGTTCTAGAAATAATGCAGTTTTATGCGCTCGAGCTCCTTCTATAAATTAAAGGTAATCTAAAAAATTGATTTTAAAAAACAATTTGTAGTCATAATATTAAATTAAAATAATAATGATAATAATAATATTAATAACTTTCTCTTGCAGCGTTTTTTACAAACTTTAAGGCTCTCTTTTAGTGAACATCCTCGATTTACGACTGAAAAAAAATTGTCGCCTCGCGTAAGGGATTCCGGTTAATTTTTGCTTGTGGAATCTGGAATCCTGGGCCTTGGAATTCTAAGCACAGCTCAAGTAATCCGGAATCCCACTACCGCTTGGAATCAACTTTCAGGCCCTCTGGCCAAACTGACTAAATTTTCATGAATTACGTCGGCGTATTATTTAGAGCATGCCATAGTAACAAGCGAATGCGCATCTGGTGACGTTACGGCCTGGTCACCCATAAAAGCCCATTTTAGAAAATAAACCCAAAGTGCTTGCTCTGCAAGATAAAAGGGATTAAACGTGACGTTGAGCGAGGTTCTACTTTTACGCTTCCGTACGACCTTTCATACATTGCCTCAATTTTATTTGCGAACGTAAATTTTACGCACGTCCGCACTTAAAAATCACGCGACAGTGGAAATCAACCCTTATTTAAGAAAATAAACCAAAAGTGCTTACTCAAGCACCTTATGGGCCATAAGGTATTGCCTGACTTACAAATAATGTAAAACTAAACTGAAACTCAAACGCAAGAAGGATGGTTCTAAGACTGCGATACTGATTCACTGTGAACTCTTTTATGGATTCTTATTATTATTATTAAATAGATACTCGTTATATTCTACGTTTCGCTGTTCTCAGTAGGCCAATATTATCGAAACATCTAGTACTGTAATTTGTAAACCGAATGTCAAGCTGTCAACAATTAGAACAATGAAGAAATAGTACTAAGAAAAAAAACCGCAATTGATTAAGCGAAACCACCAAACCCTTTCTCTTTGAATTCGGTCTTTTATTGATAAGCTTCCAATGCGCATTTTTGCCCTTCTAAGAACTAAAAAAATTGAACCGAATTATTGATAAGGGTGATCAAAGTGACTCAGTGCAAAAAAGAGCATTTACGATAAGAAAACGTTTTTTACAAAAAACAGCAACAAAAAAAGACTGACTTTCCTTCTGGATCTCGAGAGCAAACAGTTTCTTGCCTTTCTAAGCGTGTTTTGAAGGAAAGAAAACTATCTTTTTAGTTGTTGAGTTCGAGCGAAGGAAGGAATATTTTCCTAGAGAGACTTGTCCTTAGTCAGTTGTCGGGTAGAATGAGTAATTATCAAGCAAATGATGCAGGGGCGGATCCAGGATTTTTCTTAGGAGGGGGTGCACTCGTTTGTTGCTCTACTTCAACACCCATAAACCACATATATATAGAGGATATTACACGGTGGCGAGAAGATATGAATTTTATGTTCGAGTGGCAAGAACAATATCTCACGAGTGAGCGAAGCGAACGAGTGAGATATTGTTCTTGCCACGAGAACATAAAATTCATATCTTCGAGCCAACGTGTAATATTATTTTTATTATATGGAGAAACCAATTCAACAAAAGCAAAAGGCGGGAATCGTGACGTCATTGAACGATACGACACTAAGATCTATCACCTAACGTATTCTTCGATCTAACGGCTGGCATAGAAAGTAAAATACTACCTGAAGATCTAAGGTTATATAAAGACGATTTAAATGTTAGTAAATCGCATAGATATTTAGGAGCAAGGCCCTGAACTGCTTTAAACGTAATAAGCAGTATCTTAAATTGTATCAGGGCGTTAACAGGAAGCCAATGCAAACCACAAAGAAGGGGTGGGGCTAGATGTGGCAAAACCTAGGCGCATTACAAACTAGCCTGGCTGAGCGGCGTTCAAAACTCTCTGCAATTTGTTAAGCTGGTAG